TTTTTTTTGAGATAAAGCCTAGCTCTGTTGTCCAAGCTGGACTACAGAGGTGCAGTCTCGAGTCATTGCAACCTCCGCCTCCTGGGTTCAAGCAATTCTCCTGTCTCAGCCTCCCAAGTAGCTAGGATTACAGGACTCCACCACCACAACTGGCTAATTTTTATATTTTTAGTAAAGACAGGGTTTCCCCATGTTGGCCAGGCTGGTCTCGGACTCCTGATCTCAAGTGATCTGCTTGCTTTGGCCTCTCAAAGTGCTGGGATTATAGGCTTGAGTCTCTGCACCTGGCTACCCTGCTTTTCCTGGTCACCTTCCCATAACTTGCCTCCCACATACCCTTCCTTCATTCAGTGAAACATGGTATTTAAGCCTGAATTCTAAGCCACCTCTTTGAGATACACTCATTTTCCCTGGTATTTTCAATGCATACGTGAGGTATACATACTAATACACTTCTGTTTTTCTCTTGTTAATCTGTCTTTTATTCCAGGCATCTGTCCCAGCTAACAGGTCAGAATGATAGAGAATTATTTGAGGTAGAACCAAAGGGTTTTGGTCCATCAAAGGGTGGGAGATGAATAGGAGGGTGAATTGGAGGTGAACACATGTCTAGGAGAATTCAGGGAAGGATATCTTGGTGCTCAGTGGAACAGAGGAGAAAATGAAAAGGAATAAGCCCTGTCGAAAAATATTTTGGCCCAACACACCTCTCATGTGGATTTGTAACCTGAGATATATTGTTGGGTGGTCCCGCAACCTTAAACTGTGAATTTGTTGTATATTGTAGTGCCTTCAAATACTGGGAAGAAAAAACATAAATCTTCTATAGAGGAAGATATCTTTAGTTTAGGCTTTAAGGAATTCCCATCAATGAGCTTTTGAGGACAGCAAGCAGAAATCAGTCAAAGGTCACCAAGCCCACAAGGAAATAAGGCACCATGAGACCATGAACCACGAAAAACAGACCTGCAGTGATTTTTAGATATCAGAATGATCAGAAATTGGTTATAAAACAACTGTTCTTATAAATACTGAAAACTATAGAACAGACAAATGGAGTTAAATAGAAAGCCTTGAAATAAACCCACACATATTTTCAAACAATTTTTAACAGAATGCCAAGACCATTAAATTAGCAACAGTTTTTTTTTTGGTTTTTTTTTTTCAATAAATGGTGCTGGGTAAACTGGATATCCACATACAAACGAATGAAGTTGGAACCTTATCTTAGACTGTGTGAATCTGAAATATCTGAAACAGGTTTCAGTTGATTTGGAAAGTTTGTTTTGCCACGGTTAAGGAGGTACCCATGACACAGCCTCAAGAAGTCCTGATGACGTGTCCAGGGTAGTTGGGATACATCTTGCGTTTATATATGTTAGGAAGATGGGAGACATCAATCAATATGTATAAGATGTACATTGATTTGGTCTAATGAGGCAGGACAACTTGAAGAGGGGGCTTTCAGGTCAGAAGTAGATAAGAGAGTCCTTGATCCTTTTGAGTCCTTGATCAGCCTTCCACTGAATGTACAATTTAGTCTGACTCAGTGAATCTGCATTTTTCCATAAACAATAGAGCAGAGGAAGCAATCAGATATGCATTTGTCTCAAGTGAGTCTCAGAGGGATGACTTTGAGTCATCCCTTTGTCCACAAGGAATTTCCTTTCGGACAAATTGTGAGGGAGGTATGTAGCTTTTTATCTTGGTAGCAATTTTATTTAGGAATAAAATGGGAGGCAGGTTTGCCTGACATAGTTCCCAACTTGACTTTTCCCTTGGCTTAGTGATTTTGGGGGTCCTAAGATTTGTTTTTCTTTCACAGCTGTATACAAAAACTTAAACTATATCACAGTCCTATAGCTAAAGCTATAAAACTCTTGAAACATAAAGATTCATAACATTGAGTTTGACAATAATTTCTTGGTTATGACACCAAAAGCACAGGTAACAAAAGACAAATTGTACTTTACCAAATTTAAAACTTTTTTTTTTTTTTTTTGCTTCAGAGGACACTATCAAGAGAGTGAAAAAAATAACTGGTGAGGCACAGTGGCTCAAGCCTGTAATCCCAGCACTTTGGGAGGCTGAGGCAGGTGGATCACTTGAGGTCAGGAGTTTGAGTCCAACCTGGCCAACATAGTGAAATCCCATCTCTACTAAAAATACAAAAATTAGCTGGGTGTGGTGGTGGGCACCTGTAATACCAGCTACTCAGGAGGCTGAGGCAGGAGAATTGCTAAAACCCAGGAAGGGAAGTTCACAGTGAGCCGAGATTGCTCCACTGCACTCCATCCTGGTCAATAGACCAAGACTTCGTCTCAAAAAAAAAAAAAAGACAACTAAAAGATAGAAAATATTGGTCAATCATACATTTGATAAGAGGATAATATCCAGAGAATAAAAGGATTCCCAAAACTCAACAACAAAAAGACAACCCAATACAAAAATGGGCAAAAGATTTTGCTATAATTTGTGTCCGCTCCAAAATTCAGATGTTTCCAATGTGATAGTATTAGGAGGTGGGGACTTTAGGAGGTGATTAGGCCATTAAGACGTTGGTCACCACCTGTAGAAGTTTGGCCTGCAGACCCTGACTCAACGACAGATGAATAAATGCACTCTCACACAATTACAGTGATTCAAGTGGGATGGTCGTCAGCTGCTTTCAGAGGGTGAACTGCAGCCAATCGACAAAGACTCCCTCTCCATCATTACATTTATTTAGTAAAAGATTTCATTAACAGAGGTTCTAAGTCAACACAC